GGTCGCGCCCGTTACGAGCTCGGTGCCGTGCTGGTGGTGCCCCACGGCCGTGTAATCCAGGACGCAAGTGGTCTTCTCGGAGAAGTCGTCGAAGCGAGTGGTGCGGAAGACGAAGGAGGGGAGGGTGAGGAGGCCGGCTAGGAACCAAGCGGCCGCGCAAGCCCCCCGGACCAGCGCCAGGGTCCGGTGGTTTTGGCACCACACCGGTCGCGTCACCAAGGCGCAACGGTCGGCGCTGATGGCCATGAGGAGGAGGACGCTGGCGAACATGTTGAGGATGGTGAGGGAGGGCAGGAGCTTGCAGGCGAAGCGCCCCAAGGGCCAGTGGTGGTCCTGGGCCAGCGGCAGGGCCAGGAAGGGGAGGGCCAAGCAGCAGAGGAGGTCGGCGACGGAGAGGTTGAGGAACCAGACGCCGTTCACCGTGCGCCGCAGCTCGAAGCCGGTCACCCAGATGACGGCGCCGTTGCCCAAGACGCCCAGGAGGAAGATGAGGGCGTAGAGCGCCAGGACGGCGCGGTAGCTGGGAGGGATTTCGTAGCCGAAGTCGTAGATGGAGGGAAAGTCGTCCAAGTCGGAGTAATTGAAGGTGTAATTGGACATTGGGAAGTCCATCCTCCAGCAGCTAACCTGGAAACCACACTCTGTTAGACCATCACGCAACGGTTTGGGTTGGAGGCACCTTCAAAGGCCACCCAAGTCCAACCTCCTGCTGCCATGAGGGACATCTTCCACTAGAGCAGGTCCCTCAAAGGCCCACCCATAGCATCACACAACCATTTGGGCTGGAGGGACCTTCAAAGACCACCCAAGTCCAACCTCCTGCTGCCATGAGGGACATCTTCCACTAGAGCAGGTCCCTCAAAGGCCCACCCATAGCATCACACAACCATTTGGGCTGGAGGGACCTTCAAAGACCACCCAAGTCCAACCTCCTGCTGCCATGAGGGACATCTTCCACTAGAGCAGGTCCCTCAAAGCCCCACACTTGGCATCTTGCAACCATTTGGGTTGGAGGGACCTTCAAAGACCATCTAGACCTGGCAGCGACATCTTCCATTAGATCAGGTTCCACAAAGCCCTGTCCCTGCAGTCATGGAACGGTTTGGGCTGGAAGGACCTTCAAAGACCACCCAAGTCCA